AGGGGAGAACAGACCATGTGTGCGGCATCCAAAAAAATCGGAAATCTGCATAGTCCTGTAGAGTATATGCTATAACAGATTATTGATCACTAACTGAGGCCATGACCTTCCAGACGGCTTGAAGCAAGCACCGGTGTCGCTCACGCTTGCATGCCGAGTCACCTCAGATTGGTCGAGAGGTTGTACGACTTGAACGTGAAATGATGTGACAGAATAGCCCACCATCATCATAGACAGATGTTTGGAGTAGAAGGGGATAGACAGAGAGAGAGAAAGAGAGAGAGATTGGGGTAGAATGTATAGTGTATGGGCTGATCGATCGACAACAAATTGACGTGCTCTGATTGGCTGGAATGGTTTCGGCCTTCGGGCTTCCGAACGCGAGACTCGCCGAGTTTCAACCAGAAATTCTGGCCTGGCAAGCCTTGAACAGCTTCATTCTCTCCTCATCCGCCCATCATGGCATCCTTGGGGCCTTCCGTGCCCTTGCTGCGAAGCTTGTCTCCCCGGCTATCGAGGGAGCTCTTCACCTGCCGCCAATGTTTGGTCCGCACTCAGAATCACGCGACTAAATCCGCCTTCCGCAGACAATTCTCCGCCCTGCCCTTCACCCAGAACGCCAACAGCAGAGCCAACTCTGCCCTGCAGTCGAGGGCCAGAAAGCTTTTTGCGTCTAGCCTGAAAAGAAGTGCTTCCGGATCAGCAACGGCGGAGGCAATTGCTGCCCAGGGAGAAGCCGCGAAAGCCAAATCTAGCTTCCCGGATGTGAGCGATAAGAAAGTGGCCTACTGGCTACTGGCCAGCGCGGCCAGCGTGTTTGGCATTGTAGTTTTTGGCGGCCTTACCAGGTTGACTGAATCAGGGTATGGTCCTTCCATCCATTGCTATATTTCGGACCAATGCTAACGCAGCCATTTTATAGTCTGAGTATCACCGAATGGCGCCCTGTCACCGGATCCCTTCCCCCCATGAACGCCGAAGACTGGGAGTCAGAATTCTCCAAGTACCGTGCCTCCCCCGAATTTCAGCTTTTGAACCCGCATATGACCCTCTCCGAATTCAAGTCGATTTACTACATGGAATGGATCCACCGTCTCTGGGGCCGCTTTGTCGGCTTGTCGTTCGTCCTCCCGGCCGCATATTTCGTTGCTGCGAAAAAGGTTAGCAAGCCTATGGCTCTGCGTCTCGCTGGTATCGCAGGCTTGATCGGATTCCAAGGTTTTATCGGCTGGTGGATGGTCAAGTCTGGCCTGAAGGATGATCTTTTCGCTCCCGGCAGCCACCCTCGTGTCAGCCAGTACCGTCTGACAGCGCATCTGGGTGCGGCTTTCGTCTGCTATACTGCTATGCTCTGGAACGGACTTGCTATCCTGCGCTCCCACCGATTGCTCGCCGACCCGGACGCTGGAATCAAGCTTCTTGACGCGCTCCGTGACCCTAAGCTCAAGATCTTCCGTCGCTCCGTCGCCGCTTTGGCTGCATTGGTTTTCGTGACTGCCATGTCGGGTGCCCTGGTCGCTGGCCTGGATGCTGGTCTCATCTATAACGAGTTCCCATTTATGGGTAATGGCCTGGCTCCTCCTAAGTCTGAATTGTTTGATGAACGGTACTCTCGCCACGAGGACAGATCAGACCTGTGGTGGAGAAACATGCTGGAGAATCCTTCCCTGGTGCAACTGGACCACCGCGCTCTGGCCATAACTACCTTCACGAGCATCATGGCTCTGTTGGCCTACACTCGCGGATCCCCCACCATGAAACGCCTTTTGCCCCCCGCTGCGAAGAAGGGTGTCCACGGTGTGGTCGCTTTCGCTTGCATGCAGGTTGGTCTGGGTATCTCGACGCTTCTTTACCTTGTTCCCACGCCTTTGGCCTCTGCCCACCAGGCGGGCAGTCTTTTCCTTCTTACCTGGGTGCTTGTCCTGGGAAGCCGTATCTGGCACCCGTCTAGGACGGCTAAGCTGCTTCAGATGGCAGCCAAGGCCCGTGGACAGGCTCTCACCAATGCCGCGGCCCATGCGCCCCGGAGGGTATAAGGGCCAAATATGACGAACAGACAGAAGTTCTGGACTACATCCTACATGTATTATACTGCCACGGAGTGGCCCTGTATGTCTACTAAAATCTCTACTTCACGTATTTGTATAATATGATCACGTGCCACTGAATTTGTCTCTGCCGGATTAGCTTAATACTGCAATCGTAGTAGACATAATCCAAATTCTGCTGGCATCGGGCAACAGCATAATGGAGAATGACGGAGGAAATCGGCGCCTACCTCTTTCCGAATATTATGCCTGTGTTGAAGGCCGGCTCTCATCTCTCGCACAGGCATATCTTTTCTTCTGCCCAACTGTTCCACACACAGAGTGCGAGCAAATTAAGACAGAGAATAGCCAAGGACATTTCATAGCGATGAACGGAAATGGTGTTGTGGCACCATGACACATGATGAAAAGCCAAAGGGCGGAAGTTCGTTGCTGGAGCAGTAGTCGAATAACAGCACATCAAAAGATAGTTATCTATGTTATGTGACACACTCCTCAGTTGCCCTGTCTGTCTGCTGGGTTTCGAATTGTTCGCGGGCACGTTTTGCCAGGATGAGACAGGAAGCATGTCTAGTTTGTCTCTCTGCCTCAGAGGTGGTGGACCCTATAAACGCTGTAAGAAAGAGCCATGTTTTAGACCTACTGTATCTGTCACCTACCACTTTCACTTCTGCGACTAGCAGAGTCTTCAAGACCCAAAGCATACAGCATCTCCGCACCCTCCGCTGTCTCGGGAGCTTGAGCACCGTCCAATCGTGCTTCCCCAATGCTAGGAGAAGCCGCCGGGGACGGAGCAGGGGCAGGCGCAGCTCCAGGCGCTGGTTCTTGACCACGTTGGCGATTTCCACGGTGGCCTCGTTCGTTTCTCCTTCCCCACCCTCCAGTCTGTCCTCCTCTCCTCCTTCTACTATATCTCCACCCTCTGGCATGGCCCCTCTGTCTTGACAACCCCCTCATTGACATCCATCCCCCTAGTCTGGCCACTCTCCGCTCGTGGTCAATCGCCGCCTGGGTCCTCAACTCCGATACATCAACAGGGGAGAAATGTCTCTTGCCTTGAAACTGATGGGATCGACGGCCACCAGTTTCAATCGTGCACGCACGACATTCTCGCCATCCACATGATTTGCACTGTGACATGGCATTCTGCATGTTGAAGAGTTCGCAACTGTCGCAGACATCTTCGTAGGCTTCTATGTACCGGAACTCAGTATGGGTTTCTGAGGCTGGGCTCTGGTTTGCGGTCGTGTCGTTTGGGGCGGTTGTAGACCGGGAATCCATGGCAGTTTGAGTAGTGAAAATAGGTGTCTCACTGGTGGTGGCTGGGTACTAGCTGGATGTGGCTGTAATAGTCAGTACTAGTGGTCGAGATGAGTAGATAATTCTCCGAAGTATATATACATCTTCTTTGTCTTCTAGAATACTTATCTTCGAAACAAATTGTGGAGATGTACAGCTGTTGCGCAGGGAAATACCGGTGTGATTGAGTTACGCTCTCGGGAGTTTGGAGTTCCTATGCGCGACAAGTCCGTTGGGGCTCATAGCTCATTTGTTATAGCTGAAGGGAAATTGAAAATTGGGTTTGCTAGACTTGGAGGAATATTCCAGCAACTATCACGTCCCATGACCAGTGAATATGGCACACAGCCACTGGCAGTAACTGGGTTGACAGACCACGGATGTGAATCCTTACGGAATTTACAATTGCCTTTCTACTTAATAGGTAGATATATAGAGACCAATGCAAACAGTAGCCAGTACAATTAATAGCTTCTCACTTAGCAAAGAAGTGACAATAGGTAGATATCAAATACCAGCACCTCTGAACGCATACATTAGGCTGCAAAAAGAAGCCTTTTCTAGAACTGAGAAAATTAGTGAAATAGATGTGGGCATACTTAGGAAAAAGACACTATATACAGGCCAAGCATAGTAGTACTATTAGTGACTCTATCCATCTCTATCGGAACTTCCCTACGAAAAGCCCCGAAGCATCATCACCATAATCCTCCGACGGAAACTGCCCCATAAACAGATTTATGCTTTATCATTGGAAGCTAGCGCAGTGCATTCTACACTTATCATCCTTACGCTTCAACCCAACTACTAGAGAGCAAACTCAATTCGACACTGGCTGATAAGGCTAAGGCTTGTATCTACCCTACTGATTACCACAACCACGAAGTAGAGTGACAGTAACTCATCAAGAAAGAACTGTTCGGTGCTAGTAATACTCATATTATCCTCCTAGCTGTCATTGTTGTTTTATGATACTAGCGGACTACTACTTTGTAGATCTCGTTCAGACAAACTCCTACTCAGTGAGAAACATCGTCTAAATGCGCACTTTGATATAGAGAACATTGCAGCTTTATCAGAATGCATTATCTGCTCAATAATTATAGCACACTAGCTACCCTCCATTAGACCCCGGAAGATTACTCAACACGTCTACACAATGCTCCCCAAGACCACTAGTATACCTCTACCAAGACAAACCCAAGGCATAAATCTGGAGGAAGGTAATATGTCAGTAGTGATGGCAATTACTCTTACCGCTTCTTTGACCACCATAAGCGGCAGAAACTGATGAACCTCGTTGAGAAAACCTCGGATTTAGCGGGTTTTAGAAACATACAGGTCTCAGAAACCTCATCTGAGATTCTGTTACAATTGGCGGCGCTGTGTGGCAGTATTTTGGAGTTGGTCGGTGTACCGCTTTATAACTTTGTAGTGGATCCTGCGTTATCATCTCCCGGCGCTAAACCACATCCGGTACCCCTGCCTCCCCGTCAACTCTACATCAACTATCTCATCCCGACGGGAACCTGACGACATAACAATCAAATCACCTTTTTGTCATCTCATGACTCACACCGACAAGGCAAAGACGAAGGTTTAAACCCCCGCAACTGATCTTCCCTATCCGCTTTACCCCCTCTGCCAACAGTAGACAAGATGGCCGAGGGGTCTAAGGCACCGTTAGCCAGGGTCACCTGACTGCGGTCCCGAAAGGGGCGTGGGTTCGAATCCCACTCTTGTCCTGCTTGCGGCGGATTTCAACAAGCCATTCTCTTCTTTTTTATTATTCAGCACGGGGGGTATGTTACTTTTTTAAGATAAATACTATAAGGGTCATGAGGTGGGTATATAATAGAGGGAGGGGAAAGATATTTACTACATCTGTGGCATCTATTATCATTTTATGCATTTCTTCATTGACATCCGAGTACCATGCAACTAGTCATCAGAGAATACTAACATCTAATAAGCAGTTCATCACATTTATCTATTTGTGGGCTGTAATCCACTAGTTAGCTATAAAGTTCTCTTGTCCTAGGAAGAATAAAAGGTGGTAGACTTACCGATACCCTCCTCAGGCTGAGGCTCAATGCCAACCACCTCCGCGGCGGGCTTGGTATCATGTGCAGTCTTGTCCTCCTTCATGAAGGGGAAGGCCAGCACCTCCTTGATGCTGTAGTTGTCCGTCAGGAACATGACCAACCGGTCAATACCCATACCCCAACCACCAGTGGGAGGCAGGCCGTATTCCAAGCTGGTACAGAAGTTCTCATCGATGATCTGCGCCTCGTCGTCACCCTGGTCCTTCTGGCGAGCCTGCTCCTCGAAACGCAGGCGCTGGTCGAACGGATCGTTCAACTCGGTGTAGGCGTTGACAATCTCCTTCTTGCAGACGAAAGCCTCGAAACGCTCGCACAGACCGACGTTCTGGCGGTGGTACTTGGCCAGAGGAGACATCATCTGGGGGTGGCCAGTGATGAAGGTGGGGTTGACGCAGGTCTCCTCGATGAACTCACCAACCAGCTTGTCGAGCATGCGAGCGTTGGTCATCGGGGGAGAGCACTCAACACCGGTCTTCTTGAGCACGCGCTTGAGGAACTCGCCGGTCTCGGCGGTGTGGAGCTGATCGCCCGGAGGGAACTTCTCGCCAGTGGCCTCCTCAAGGGCGGGGATCATCTCCACGCGGCGCCAGGGGGCCTTCCAGTTGACGTTGTAGGTCTCGCCAGACTGGGTGTGGAAGGTGGTCTCGTAACCACCGGTGATGTGCTTCACGAGACCGGAAACCAGCTCCTCGGTCAGGTTCATGACATCGTAGACATCGGCGTAGGCCCAGTAGAACTCGCAGGTGGTGAATTCGGGGTTGTGAGTGAGGTCAATACCCTCGTTACGGAACTGGCGACCAAGCTCGTACACACGCTCGAGACCACCGACGATCAGCATCTTCAGGTACAGCTCGGGAGCAACACGCATGAACAGGTTCATGTCGAGGTCGTTGTGGTGAGTAACGAAGGGCTTGGCGGTGGCACCACCAGCGATGGCGTTCATCATGGGAGTCTCAACTTCGACAAAGTCGCGGTTGTCGAAGAAGTTGCGGATGTAGCGCACAATCTTGGAACGGGTGACGAAGACGTTGCGGGACTTGTCGTTCATGATCAAATCCAGGTAGCGCTGGCGGAAGCGCTGCTCCTTGTCCTGCAGACCGAAGTGCTCGGACGGGATGGCGTGCAAGCAGGGAGAAAGAAGGACCACCTCCGTAGCGAAGATGGACAGCTCACCGTCGGCACGGTTCTTGGGGCTGGTACGGCCGGGGAAACCGACGATACCGACGATGTCACCACGGCGGAGGTGCTCGTGCTGAGCCTCGAAAGGCACGCCGCCAGTGGCGTGCTGAGCCTGAGCGACGACCTGGACCTTGACACCCTCGGCGCGGATATCGTAGAAGATCAGCTTGGCGCCGGAAGCACGCTTAGTGTAGATACGACCGGCGATGCGGACGGCGACCTCGGGCTTCTGCTCGCCCTTGGCGAGACCCTCGTAATCAGTGAGGTACTTGCGCAGATCATCGGTAACCTGGAACTTGTGGGGGTAGGGGTCGGGGTTCTTGGTCTCGCGCAGCTTGTTGATTCTCTTGCTGCGGATCTCGAAGTATTGCTGTAGAAGAGGAGATGAGCGGGAATGTTAGCAAAGATGCGACAATGGATCCTCCGACGGCACACAAAGAAGCGCCCCCCAGGGAAGAATATGGAGAAAATGACTCACGTTGGGGGTGAGGTTAGCCTCCTCATCCTCGGCGGAAGTCTTCTTCTCGGCCTTGGGAGGAGCAGCGGCCTCCTTCTCCTTCTTCTTGGCTTCCTTCTCACGGTTCTTCTGGCGTCTCTTCAACTCGGACTTGGAGACCTTCTCGCCGGTCACCTCATCGAGGAGGAGGTTGGCCATGGAGGCCTCGGCCTCCTTAACAGCATTGTTATCAGCCATGGTGATGGACGGGGGGGTAATTGCTCGGTCTCAATCACCGTGGGAACAAGACGATGAGAAGGGAAAGAAAGGTAAGTGGAGGGATCGATCGATGACACACAAGATGGTGGGCTGAAGTCGGAGGGAACGAGAATTTTGGGCGGGAGTCGCCGCCGGCGATCCTCATTGGGCACCGCGAGGGGCAGCTTCCCCCCGCCCAGCCAGTCCTTAAGTAATCGTCTGTTCTTTGGACTCGGCCTCCTGTTTATCATCATTGCACGAGTCTAGTAGAAAGTACCAAATGTTCCCATTGAATTGCATTCAATAGCTTGTAATCATTCTATCTAACCTCTTTCCTTTTCCATTGGGTACATGCTGCCATACACCATTCGAGCCTATCGCAAGCAGGGTTTAGGGCTTAGGGCATCAAAGTGGGGTTCCCTACCCCGCCTCGATGCTTGCGGTCAATCCATCCATTCATCATTATCATATTCCAGCTTCAACTGCAACTTTGTCCAACAATCCACTCACATGGTCCAGCCACCGCTCTATCACAATTGACGCCCAAGTAGACTCTGTTGTCACAGCGCACTGCGGACAGACAAATGCTCACACAAGTCTCGCTAAGCCGGAATCAAGTAGTCCAATCGTCGGGAGGCTGGGACTTGATTCTCACATTATCGAACGGGTCTTCCTGGTCGTCCTCCTTCCTCGCCAGCTTTAGCCACTCCTGGGCCTTATCGATTCGCTCCTTCTCTCTGAGAAGGAATTGGCGGCGTCTCTGGCGGTCAGGGTCCTCCTCCATAAGTTCTAAACAACGTTCCAGTGCTGGGAGCAACACGACGTCTTAGTATCTACCATGTGCAAGAATAGATGGAGAGAAACGTACCGTTTTCATCGAAGATACAAAGCTCTCTTTCAATCTCCTTTATGAGGTCATCACGACATTTTGCGAACAATTTAGTGTGCACGCTCTGGCAAATCGAATCAATAAACCGCGAACTCGCCAAGTCGTAGTATCCTCGACTCGTCTAGCCAGGACAGTTAGTCTATAAAGAGCCAAGAGTTTGCCATGATACCAACTTACCGCCATCATGGTCAGCTCCTGCGAGAACTGGTCGCGCCCCAGCTCGACATCTGTAAGCTTTTTAAGCTCAGCTTCCCGTCGGGCGTCTCCTCTAGGGTACTTTCCCTGAGCATCGAGGTAAGAGCTTGCGCGAGCAAACCGACGCTTTTCCGCAAGAAAAATGTAAGCAGACTTGATTGATTGGTCCAATGCCGAAAGTGCCAATGTGAAGGGTTTATTGTATTCGATATTAAAGTTTTCCTGTGCGTGTTCAAAGTGGGCTGCCCGTAGCTTATACAAAAAGCCTTCAATGATCCTCTTGAGTTCTCGATATAAGCCCGTCTGATGGTATTGCAGAAAGACTTCATCCAGCTGCTTGTGCAGCATGTCCCGGACAAGTCGATGGGTGGCAACCAGGAACACTGACAGTGGGTCGTACCAGTGTTTTACGCTCATCTGGTTCATGATCTCAATGGCTTTTGGATCCGTCTGGTCTGGCAGTCCAGCTCGATACGAATCCTCGTTTATCTCGCGAATCATTTCCCATGTAAACGTCAGGGCCGGGGCGTTGAACTTGTCGAAATGTTCTGTCGAGTACAATCCATTTCCGGTCAGTCTTGTTGCTGAATTTGGCTGTTGTCTCGCTTCTGGTGCGACTGAGATATTTCCAGGCTCACCAGGTGACTTGCGTTTGGCCGGCTGTGGGACCGTTGTCATCTCGCAGTCTGAATCGCTTCCCTCCGCATCGCGGCCCGTCGGACCAGGGAACTTATCACTTGAAGAGAGCAAGTGTACAGTGGGCCGAGTCTTGATCAGAGCTCGCTTGAAATCCATGGCAATATGCGACCAAATCTTCTGTAGAGGGTAATTTGCTGACCCGCCATCAATGTGAGCGCGGATCTGATCCTTCAGTTGATTCAGCTTGCCGCAAATAATATATGGAACGTTTGCGGAGGGGGGATCTGGAAGGGTCCGAAGTTCGGTCTCGATTCGATCTGCTTTGGCGTTTATCTTTTCAATGAAGTCCGGTAAACATCCTTGAATCTGTTCAAGAAGGAGGGAGGAGAGAGCCGTTTGTAACCGGCGTGTCCCAAACTTCTCTTGATAGAGAGCCAAATCTGTTGCCCAGGGGGGGCTTGCGAAGAAAGCATCCTCTTCTTCCCGAGCCACATAGTGCTCTACAGCCGGGTCGGGATTGTTACGAACGACGAAGTACCCATGGCCAAGCGAAAACTTGTCCCCTTCAAGTATTTCGACCCACTGGGCAAATGATTCCCCGGTCTGTACGCGGTCGGGTTTCGTCAGAACGCCCATTGTTCTAGCATTCGCCCCACGGATCTCTTGCATAATTCGTGCCGCACTCGAATTAGTTGCATCGTTCGTCATCGGCAATGTCAACAGGACGATACAGTGTTGCTGCAGAATGTAATGCTTGACAAGGTTCTCGACCAGAAAGACAAGATAGCGCTCTTCTTCGTGTTCGGCTTGGCTGATGACACCAGGTAAGTCGTAGAATGATAGGCTAGGAAAGCCTGGAGCCGTAATATCTAATCGGACGACGTTGGGCGAGAATTTTACCTGACAATAACCAGGATCTGTTTCGCTGTTTTGCCCCGGCAAGTATTCGCTTGATGGCCGGCCTGGATTTAGGATGGCGAGCTGCGCCCATCTAATGACTTCTTCGAGGTCGAGCTTGTTTGTCAGTGTCGTGAAAAGCTCATC